GCTTGCAGTGCTTTTCAATTACGCCACGCAGCCACACATTGATCGCTGTAATGGCCCATCGCCAAATCTGGTGATTAGCTTATCCTTGCATGAGGGTGGCGAGATTTGGATAGCACACGCACAGGGGTGCGAATACTTGGAGCATCAGGGCCGAATGGTTCGAGGAGATCGATTCTTGAATCTGCTTCAAGCAGTGCGTTTCCCAGCTCATCGTTTATTACATCACACCTGCGCATGGCAGCATTTTGACAGGGTCACTTTAGTTGCCTACACGGCACAACGGTGGGAAAAGCTGGGCCTACCCATGCACCGACGGCTTGAAGAGATGGGCTTCGTTCTCCCCGACCCGGCACAACCCATTGTACAGCCCTCCATAATGCAGGATTGTCTTCCCTGCGTTTTGAGACACTAAGCGGCGAGCCATCGCAGCTCTCAGCACAGTGTAAAGAGAGTGAGATTCCCTAGGTAGTCCCTACCTGTGCCTCTGTAATCAGGTAGTGCATCGGCCCATACGGCGTGGATGTGCTGTCAGGTTGCTGAACTGGAGGATTGCCAAGTTGAAAAGTTCCACGGTTGACGCTATAGCCAAGTAATTACACTGCTGAGAATGCTGGGCTTACTTGCTCAGGTCATGCCCCCTTGCGCCACAGATGGCTGCACACGCGAGGTCAATGGTAATTGTCTCTACTGCTGCTCTGAGTGTCATCATGGTTCGCACAGCCGAAGATGCAATAGACGCTTTCGCCGCGGCTTGAGAAGCAGTGTATCGGTTTGCCTTACAGCCAGCTGTGCAAGGCTGGTGGCATACGCTCACACTCATTGCTGTTCGGAGTGTCGTGCCACTGGTGGGCAGCAGCACAAGAAAAGCTGCAATCATCGTCAGATTGCTTTGCAATCCATGCAATCTGGAACAAGTGTAGCGGCACAAGCTGCTATTGAGAGGCCTTTCCCAGCTGAAATGGCTGTTGTTATCGATTTAGAAGCGATGGATTGAAGGGCATCATTCCATGTTCTCTTAGCTAGCAGTGGGAGTCGCCAATAGTGCGGCGCGGGCTTCGAACCGCCGGACATATGTCTGTCCCTCATCGTCGAACGCAGGAGCTTTGCGAGACGTGGGCAATGCAATACTGCTACTCCTACTCGTACTTCTGCTACTATACTGCCACGACTACGACTACTGCCACTGTGACCACTAGTAGTGCTGCTAGCGCACGAGGACCGCCACCACCACGGCGAGGACGACGACGAATACTACTACTACTACTACTACTACTACTGCTACTGCTACTACTGCTACTACTACTACTACTACTACTACTACTACTGTAATCATAACAACTCCAAAGCGAATGCGGGACGACAGCTTATTATTCTCTTTACTCCTGCTACGGCTACTGCCACTCACACAAGGACAACGAAGACGATCGCCACTGCACAGCTCAGCGAAGTGTCCAGGAGGCAGGGCACCAGCGGGAACGCACAGGGAAAACCTGACATGTTCTCCCTCCTTGAACTCAGCCGGATTTTTCAAGGTCTCGTCCGTCAGAAGGTAGAGATTCGGATTCCATCTCGACCTGCGCGGAAATGACTGTCGCCTGAGCGCCACGGACTTTGCAAAATTCAGTGGTGCAGACCACCCCTGTTTCTGCCGACTTCCACTGTCTGACATCACAGAACTTGGGAGGGTAAGGCCGCAGCAGGTCATCGTATGAAAATCGCGTCTGGAGAGTATTTTGCAAATCCTTCGCATGATGCGCAAATGCAAAATCCTCATCCTGCTCTTCACTCCTCAATGCGTCGGCCTCCAGTGCGGCGAAGCGAGCATGCTGCTGCAGGGCCCGCTCCGCAGCCGCTTCAGCTTTGTGCCGAGTGGCCGCCGAGGCCTTCGAGAAACTGTGCTCTTACTCCAAGTAGCGTGCATTGGGCCTGGTTGCTTCGGTCCCTGGCATTGATGCTACATCCCAAACCTTTCAAAGCGCTCTGTGCCTGCTGGCCCCTTGGGATGATTTCGATGAGATGGGTCTCCTCCTCCTCTCGAACTATCGCACTTACGACTTACCAGCAGACAACCGACGTCTTAGCATGTTTTGACCACATGACTCCTCCCGTGCAGGTAAAGCACCGCCGCGCAGAACCAATTGCCCCTGTCAGTTGTATACGTGACTTAAGCATCGTTTAGCAATAGCAACTGGTCACACTAACTGCTCTCTAAAATAAACGAAGTCAAAGCTGGCCTCCACTGCGGAAAGCCTATCTGAAAGGTTGCCGATTCTCGCCCCACAAGACTTCAGCACCGGCGAGAGCTCTCGTCCAGGCGTCATAAGATCGCAAACGTCGGAATCGCCTGCCAAGTAGAAAAAGATGCATTTGGGGCTGACGTGAGCGGCAGGCTGGTTGGAATCAGTGCTCCCGGGCTGCCTTGAGCACACAGCTCGAGCTTTTCTTTCAACGACGCTGCCAAAGGGCTTGCAGCTTGTAACTCCTCCAGGGGCGTGCCAGTGCAGTGCCTGAAACTCGTGCCCTTGCAGCGTGCCATGGGGCATCAGTCCTTCTGCCTCAGTGCGGCGCTCGGCACGAAGCTGCCGAACTTGCTCGCTTTCGGCGCCGGCGTGCCCAAGGTCACGCGCAGCTCCCGGTGGAGCCTCGACGAGGACAGGAGCACCTCCCCGAGGCGAAGCGGGGATTTCGGAAGAGGCCCTCGGCTGACGGACATGCGCGCGCGAAGCCGACGCGCAGGCGCGCCGCGGCGGCGCCTGCTTGAGGAGTTTGGTCCTCTCTGAGTCATGGCTATTGGCACGGGCCAACAGCTCAATGCCGTCCATGCCAGCCGAGGCCACGATCACACGGGCTATATGGGGTATGTATTTTTGCATCGCGAGAATGCCCTCCCACGATGGTGATGGAAGAGACTGCTTGCACGTCCGGCTGTAATCCGAAAGGCCTGGTGTTGTTTCTATGTGTCATGGCCAATTGTACAAGCAGACATAAGCAGACGCTTGATGCAGCGATTCATCCATGACAGTGGAATCAACATCCTGCCGAGAGGCTTCGATCACCCTCCATCGGCACCGGGGCACCGGTCCGCAGTGTCACTCTGCGATCAACGCTGACTCGTTTTGAACGCTTGAGATTGCCACGGCATGAGTCGTGTGCGACAATTGGTCTTGTACTGGTATCCTGAAACTACATGGTTCTACAGTACTACAGGCCTGACCAAGCTCCTGAATTCGACATCCGACAGGCAAGTCTTAGACTGCCGGCCGGGCATGGAACTTTTGGTCGGGAACGAATGCATTGCAGTGGCAGCACACCACTGGGAAAAACCACGTCGGTGCCACCCCATGTACAAGGGCTTCCAGTAGCTTCAGCTCTCAACTATCCACCTTCCAAGAGGTTGAGAGGGTATCCTTCCAGAACGGTGTCTCCGAAGCCTGCAGCACGAGCCGTCATTCAAACGGCACTGTCACCAAAACGGCACGACAAAGGCCAAGTCCTGCAACATCCTTCTGTAGCTGATTGGCGGCCTCAGCGATTGGTCTTCGGGTTTCGGATTTGTTGACTGCATCTCGACACCTTGCCTCCAAACCTCCGGCTCAAAAACTGCATCGCACGCTGTTGGTCCCTAAATCTTCCCCTCTGCAACATTTTGAAAGACTTCTCAGAAAACCAAGATAAACTAAGCATGCCAGGCCTTGCCGCCCTAGCCCCTGCAGACGTGCGGTTGCTACGGTTCGCTCTCTGTGCGCGGATCTCAACATGCTGCGTTCACAACGTTTTCAGTTTAGAGGGACCACAGAAGCACCACACATGCGGCATGAAGAAAACCAAACTAAAGCCGAAGACAGAGCTATAGTAGCTCCGAAGGTGGTTGAACACCCCCATCCCCTATCCAAGGATGGGGAAACTTTGACGCGGAAGGTGGTCACAAAGTCACAGCAATGACGACGGAAGCTTGCCAGATGGTTATGGATGCAACAGGCAGCACCCCAGCATCACACAAGAGTGTCTGCAACTTCGGTGGCGCTTACGACAGTCGCGCTGCTTCTCGGAATCACATCTGCGAACCAAGCAGTCAGCATCTGCAACTGCAGAGCAACCCCAACGAACCCCAAGGAACCACGGACATCTTGCTCAAGTGGCAAGTAAAGGACGCCGATGCCATACTCGCGCAAAGCATGGAGTGCCTTGGGCGGATCAAGGCAAGGAAGCAACAACGTGGCAAGTTGGCCACGTATAGGCATCGAGCTGTCGCCGGCCTTTTCAACAGGTCTAAGCTCTGAAACGGAGCCGTGCGGAGCCGTGACCAGGGCCTGCAGGGTCTCCTTCGAGTGATTCAGCCTTGCACCGGCAGAGGCTGGTCGGCCTCAAGAGAGGCAAAACGATGACCAAGAACCAGGCCGTGAACGTTTGCACTTCCTGAGAGCAAGACGGTTTTTCGGAAATCCGGTCGGCCCAGTCGACACCTTCCGGCCACCAAGTGGTGGATGCCGGACCTGAACGTCGGCACGTGGCTTCATTCCCCCGTGCATCACGCTTCGACTGTCGCCAAGGGCTCTGCACGATGTGTAACTTCAAGACTGATACCCGCCGCATCAAAGCCTAAAGAAAAAGCAGCGGTTGGGCTGTAACAATCTTTTCGCGACACTGCATGGATTCTTCATCCTTCGTGTGCACTTTTGAGTGCTTGACCCGTAGAGGGAGACTTGGCAGCCTGTCTCTTCTATTGTGCTACAAAAACTTGGATTCTGGAGCAAGTTGATCGTCCTCACCCCCACCGCCCCCCCCACCCCACCCCCGCTGCCCCGCCTGTGCTGCGGGGTATGCACCCGTTTGAGGAGGCTGTCTCCCTCAGATGCTACGATCGCGGCTGCATCTGGAATTCCCCGGCTTTCACAAAAAAATTCAAGGTGCAGGCGCAAGAAGCCTCGCCGGCCTGCGAGAAAAAGGCCGGGAAGCTACAAGGCGAAAGCGCCAGAATTCACGGTGAGCGCCAAAAATCCGAGAGCATCCCGAGAGTTCGTGATGCGACAGCTTGGGATTTATGACCCTGGACTCCGCGGTGCTGGGACTTGAGACTCGGGGTTTCGTGAGTTTCGGGAAGACTTAAGCCCTCGACAAAGCTGATCTCAGATTTCAATCAGCACAAGCTTGATCCTCCTGCTCCGGTGCTTATCTTCAATCGAGCCTGCGAGGCTCTTTCGTCTTCGATCCAGCGGCGACTGAATTGGCCGCACCGCGGGCCTTCGCGCTGAGTTGTGTGAAAATCCGAGATTTGAGATCAAGGCTTGTTATCGACCACACTCGTCACTGCAGGGCTAGCACTCGTTTCTTAGACTTAGACTTGAGAGGTCTGCTGATGTCGGCTGGGTGCGCGACGGAATTGTGGCTCCTGTAGCTTGCTCGATTTCATGAGCCTTCCAAATTGGCGAGAGGACGAAACGTCCCGCATCCTCAGAAAGCCGCCCACAAGAAAGCTGAGCCAGCTGCGCAACTTGCCAGCACGGCGTCCTCGAAGTTGAACAAATGGAAACTTAGAGTTGCCTGCCGCGCACCACTGTGCACCACTATGTCAAGGCAATCTGTTGAGAACCTCAGAAACATGACTGGAGCACCGGTTGGTACCCAGAAGCCCCCCGCCTTACACATTGCACAACTCTGGCATCTCCATGTAGCAACGTCCATGCCATGCAGCAACGTCTAAGCTCGGCAGCGCACGCAAAGTCTCGATAAGTCGGAGCAGAGGCCGGCCGCTTCCTGATGGAATGGTGAGAGTATCCGATACTTCTGAAAGAAACACCGGTGGGCACCTGAAAAATGCTCGCACAGCACGTATGCCAGGTACCTGACAACATCACACTATCGCCGCCACGGCCAATACCATGCAAATGCAAGGCTGGTCCATCGCCTCCAAGTTGTCAATATCGGTGGCCTGTTTCACGAACAACTGGTCTTTTGCATGTTCTGCAAGCTGGGTGAATGTCTCGCTGCCGGCCTTGGCTGAAGCCAGTTCTGTCGCACCTCTGCGTAGTCTCAGTTTCGACGGCACACCACCGTGCTACTGCTGCTAATGCACCCCTCCCTTTGGCTTCGAAGATGATCTCGTCTGCATGCATGGATTGGTGGATTGTGTGCCTCGAGTCACGGCTGCACGGATTGCAAAGGCATCTGCTCAGACTTCTCGGTGCGATGCTCGTTTTGGACCGATTGCCTCAGAGACCAGAGTGGCGGGTGATGCGGGTCCGCTCATGTGAATACAACCTCTTCTCACGTACGATACGATCACGCTCACAGCTGTTGTCAGAGGAGCACACAACGTGTGAACGTGTGAGACAAATCCTGTCTTTCAACCAAGGCACGTCATCCGGACTAACTACATTCTACGCCATTGCTTTGGGCTTGCTCTACCATGTCATATCTATCTGTGATGCTGGCATAAGCCGACAGCCGAAGTCAGGACTTCACGTTACATGTGACATGCAACGACTGCTTCTCCTCCCCAGAACAAGGAATCAAATAGATCATGTGGCGTGGCGGTCCCTGTTTCAAACGCTCACACATCATCTGCAAACACCGCAGCATGCGCTTGTGACGCGGCCAGCTACAGCTCTTCGGCTCTAAGGCCACTACTTTCAGAACCCTTGCTCTCCTTGGTCTTGGCTCTGCTCATTTGGAAAGAAAGGCTTGTGCAGCACGGCGGTGAGTTGCTTCACCTCTGCATTGCTTGATCTAGAGACCTCTCCCTTCCTGGACGGTTCCACACCGGCAAATGAATGCCTTCTTATCACCAATGCCGTGGCAGTGCAGGAACTCCTTGCGATTGGGGGAGGTTGACTCAAGATGGAAGCTTTGAGGCCAGCGCCCGGAGCCCGCAGGCCGTCCTTCTCTGTTGAATGTGCGATCTGCGCAAAGGACCTGTAGGACCATTGAGCAAAGCAGCCTTCAAGCAGCCTTGAAGCCGCTGTCGCATGTGGCTTACACGGCTTGCGGCAGCCAGGCCGAGGCGCCCAAAGCGGGATGCCAAGGAGGCAGCGTCCGACTTGTTGATGCCCTGCCGAGGGACTGTAAGACTCTACGGGATGTTTTTTTCTTGCGGAAGTGCCTTGATCGTGGTCAGGACCTCCTGAAAACGCGCCCTGCTGTCTCCCTGTGTCACCCGACGCTTCAGTGCCTGCATCATGTACAGCCAATTCGTAATTATTGCGGGGATGCTTCAACTGCATGTCGCAGCTCCTCAGCCCCCTTGCTTTGACATCGATACAGCGTCTCAAGGTAGGCTGCTGCCTACAGCAGGTTGTAGTTTCGCATGTTCCAAGCAAGATGATAAGGACCTCTGCATCACTCCAAGCCAGCAGGAGGGAAACCTTTCCATGAAACGCTGTCAACGTCACCTGTGGAAGGGCGCGCCATCACTCTGTGCATGGCAAGATCTCTCAAGAGCCTGCTCCAGCGTCTCCTCAGGCTGCTCCAGATCTACTTTGCAGAGCAGCACGCGGTTGCGAAAGTCACCTGCATGTGCTGTAGCTCCGACTTCCGGCCCACTAGCATCCGGACATGCAGGCCTAAGCTTTGCACTTTACCCTTCAAGTAGTCCTGATGGAGGCGCCTCGGCTGCAACTCTCCGAAGACACTCTTGCAGGCACCATACAAGCCAGCAAACCCTGACATCAAGTTGAAAACGTCACCGGAACCAAACTGGGTCGAGCCTGCAAATGACGGCAACGAACACTTTCGCAGAAACGAACACAGAACTCGCTGAGTCGCTGAGAGTTTTTTCAAACAATGGGTCCGGGCCCGGGCTGGGCTCTCGGGGAGCGGAGCCAAGCACGGCACTGGAACTTGAGGCTAATGAAAATCACGGCCGTCTCGGGTCCTTGCCATTCGCGACTCCCTCAAATCGGGACTCAAGCATAGGCGTCGCTTACTGATGGCCTGCCAGGAAGTCTGGCTTCAGCTCAGGGTCTTCAACGAAATCAATGGGAGTAGACCTGGAAACGGACCCATGCCAGTCCAGACACGTGATCCAGGTGGATATTCAGCTCAGGGCTGGATGTATTTGACGATCGGATTCTGCTGCTGTCGCGCTTTTGCAACAATTGCCTCGAACGGCAACCAAAGCCCTGCAAGCATGCGACGAAGCGATCGGCCTGCTGGGCTTGTTTTCGCGAGGTGCCTGCAGCCGGCTAAGGCAACCAACAGCAAGTAGATGCAAGTAGCACGTGTGGCGCAGAGCACCTGACGCTCCCTCCCTGGCTTCCATCGCTGGAGCGAGTGGAGGCTTCCAAACTTGCAGGGCTTTTTTATATGGCTTTACAGGTTGTAAACGGTGTTTAGGTCTAGAGCTTTTTCAAATGTTGCGCACACTTTAACCGAACTATCTTATAACACTCGAAACTCGAAAGCTCAAATTCCTGAAAACTTCCCTGAGACTTTAAATAAAGTTGGGCGCCCCCAGCAAGGGTATGCGAAAACCATGAAGTCAACGTTCCCCGCAAGACTCTCGTTCCCAGTCCAGATTTTGTGCATGGTGACTACTTGTGACGCCCTTTGAATCAAGGTGCAAATGGGTGAACCCGCCCTCCTTCCGGGCTTCGAGAATTCTTGCGAAGGCCAGCGGGCCCACACCGAAAGCGCTAATGCATTAGACCGGAACCCCAAACCCTGCACCATAGACCCTTGAACTGTTAGGTCCACTGCTTTTGTATTCTCCAACCTCGTGGGATCTTGAGTTCAAGCGGCATGGTTTCGCCAGAGATGAGTCCGAGTTGCTGTCCAAGCAAGCATGTAGGAAAGCACCGGTAGCGAGGTTCACAAACGTATCTCTGCAGGGAGAGCTGCGATCTATGGTCCCTGTGAGGACTAGCAACCACAAGCCCTCCCAGCTAATCAACGTAAAGGAAGTCAGCACAAAGAAACGGCCCTCGCTCCTCTGACTGCGCGTTTGTGAAAGGTAGGAGCACTTTGGCCCCGCGGTTCTGCTCCTCATTCAGGACGCAGATAGCCAGCTGCTAGCTGCTAGCGCCCTTTGGCTTTAGCCTTTGGCTTCCCACCTTGGGTCTTTCAAAGAGGATGAGTTCGAGATCTGTCCGAGGAGCTGAGGCCCAAGCCTGATTTTGGACCCGCCTTCGCCTGAAGCTAGCCCGACAAGCTCTGCAAGCTTCGGAGCGAAGGTCCTACTAGTAGGTTCCCTCCGCGAAAGGCCTGCGAACAGCGTCTTAAGACCGAACTGTTATTAATCCAGCAAGTTTCTACATCTATGATCCTCTGTGTTGCATGTGTTCAAAAGATGCACCGGATGCCTCGACAATCCGTCCAGAAGCAGCCCGTGCAACGATCATAGACACAGAAGCCAAGACATCATGCATGGGGCACGAAGTTCGACTCTGCAAAATCCAAGCTTTAAACAGACGATGCCGTTCTGTGGAGTGTCGACATGGTTCTCCTCCTCCCCTTGACCGATCGCTATTCAGAATGTTCACAGCAGCAACAGAAACGAGCAACCGTCGGAAGTCGAATGCAAAGACTTGCTGCCCGCAAAAAGTCTGCCCAAACTCCCAGAACACCCACCAGCAAGACTCCCAAGCTGGAGTCCCGTACACTTGAACTAGATTTTTGAAGAGTCTGGTGCATGTTTTCCTCCATTGCAGCGACGCAAGGGCCGGTCATCTTCAATTGGGCAACTTGATCTGGTTGGAAGTGCGGGAGCTGATGTATTTCGGAAGAAACTTCGTCCATGCAGGCTGACTTCGCGCAAGCACAAACACACACCACCTAGTTGCAGAATCGCTCTGTGCCTCGAAGGTTTGTGAGCTGAAAATGGAAGCACCCATCAACGTGGCTGAACCCAAACGAGCCCCGCCGATAACGATGGTGCCGGCCTTTCCCTTGGCTTTGGCCTCCACAGACTTTCAAGTATCTTCCACGAAGACTGCATACGCCTGCCAGTCCAAGCCTTGGCTTTTCCGGGCTCCGCTTCGTCTGGGGCCTCCTCAGCTGGATTCTCGGTGCCTCGCATTGTCTGAAGGTGTTATAGGAGCTTGGAGTCGGGTTTCGAGTTGCTGCTTCATGTTGCGTCGCTATTTCCGATGGCTCCGCCTCCTGCGATGCTGCTCGCCCCTGTGATCGGAACCTGCATCCCCAAACCAGCCCCAGGATCGAGGTTGCACCGCAACACTCAGACCAAACGCCCAGCCTCAGACGGGGTGTCCACGCCTGGTCGCAGAAGTGTGTGGCAAGTGCGCAACTGCAGGGCAACCACGGCCGGGATTGCCAAGGCGGAAACATTTCAGTGTCTCTCTGATCTCATCATCCTTGGCGACGGCGAAGGCGTCTTTCCTACACATGTGACATTTGGTCCCGGTCTCATAGGATGAATTGGCGCCAAGCCGCGCAGTCTGTCTAAAAAAGATTAAGCAAGCCTCTTCTTAGACCGAGAGCGGGGTGAAGTATCCATGAAGCGGGACGGAGCGGGGTGAGCGCGCAAGGTCGACGCGAAGATGCGCTGGGGAACCGCACAACACTGATCGAATGATACGGAACGCAAGACCACCCTTAGCTGCCAAGAAGGGTTCGTGATGTTGCAGGCGCTCGCACAAACTTTGGCTTTCCGAGCAAGAACTGCCTTCCTGCAAAAGATGTCGCAGCAGTTGAAAAATGTACTCGTAGAAGAACTGCAATGGAATGCTACAAGTGAAACGACCCATGAGCAGAAACCAAATACGGCTGGAGCCACTGGATTTCCTGCTTGTAGCACAGCGAGCTAAGTGCTCAAGATGATCATCCATCCGTCCACCCAGCTGCAGTGAGGCCTGTAGGCATTCTCGATCAAAGGATCGGCTTTTCTGGCCATGAGGACCTGCGCGCGCAACCTATGCTCCGATCACAAACGAAGCTTCCAAGCCTGGCAGATCTTCTTGTGGCCGTGAAAAGCAGCCACTGCTATGGGTGTCCACCCTTTGGAGTCACGGGGGTTTGCCCCAAAGCCTGACAAAAGCCAAGTCGCTGTCACGCACGGCAGAGGGCGAAAAGCTTAGTCTCGGTTCCTTGCCAAAGCTTTCGAAAAGCAGTGTCACGATTTCCTGGCGACCTGGAATGGGCAGACAGTCACCGATGCCTGTCAGCGTACAATGCCCGGCACCATGTGTGGCCGCCAAGTGCAGGATGCTGTTCCCTCGATCATCCCGGTAAGCAGGGATCTGACAAAAGGCCATGCTGGCATTGTGTCAAAAGCTCCATGGCACATGGCTGAAAGATACGCTGCCATCATTTCCATCCACTGCCTCTTTGCGGTCAAGATCCAAAAGCTCGAGCTCGAGCGCATCCTTGTCGCCTTGCCTGTGACCAAGCGACTCACCTTCTGCATGCTTCGCCCGTCGCCCTCCGTGGCCCCTGCTCAGTGAGCTCACAGAGCTTGGCTGTTTTTTTTCGCCGTGCCAGCTGCAAGCGCTCCTGAAGCCATGCCGCTTGGCTCCGGCGAAGCTGACCGGCAATGCTCAACCTCTTCGTTGCGAACATTCTTCTCGTCTTCTGCGTCTATCGCTTTGGCTCTTTCCTTCACCGCAAGCCACAAGCCATTTGACGAATTCTCTTGCCGTGAGGGAAAGTGCGGTGCCTCCTTTAGAGAGTCCGTCTTTGCAGAATCCCAAGCCTCGGATCCGTTAAGGAGGGGAAGATTCCGCTCTCCCTGGCTTGGCAACTTGGCCTCCAGAGCAGCTCGCGTCTCGTCGTTGCTGGCCATGTCATAGGGAAGCTCCCCGTGCCGGTCCTTTCGCTCTCGCTCGGACCGTCGGAAGCACAGCACATTGCTGCTGCGGGGCTTGCCTTCGTGCGAGGGTCACTGCCGTGCTCCAGCAACACTTGGGCCACAGCCTTGCCAAGGGAAAGGCACGTCCAGCGTCCAGGCACAAAAATTTCCGGCTCCCTGCCTGGTGTCCTTGAAAGCAGGCCCTGTGGAGAGCAGTACGGCCATCGTTTCCTCCGAAAGGGAAATGGAAACTCCATGAAATTCACATGCCAGCTGCCGCACAACTCGACTGCCTGCAGCATTTGGATCGCTCCCAATGGGTGCCTGGACTCATCGAAGCAGCCTGCGCCTAATGTATCCGTCAGAAAGCGTCGCGACGGGCCGGGGCCTTCCAATCCTCGGCTTGGAAGCAAGCAGCGTTATTCAGTTATTCAGCTCACGGAGGTCTGAGGCCGGCGCCAACAGGCACTTCACCACTTCAAGGTGGCCTCCACACTCCAACTCTACGGAGAATCGCGCTTAGAGATCAAGTGTCCACAACAGGGAACCCGTTTTGTCTTGGCCCCTGCATGAGGGAATGGGGACTGCATCTACTCTCAAGTCCGTCAGGACACGGGGGGGTCTCCTTGCCAAGTTACTGGTGGGTGCAATCTCGCGCTACCCTTTCTCGACAGCCAGATCAACCCTTCTGCCGCACTTATGCCGCTGCGTTAAAAATTCGAAACCTGGTGTGAGTTGGCGAAGCGGTCCCCTGTTTCTGTCCCCACTCAAACGCCCGAAGCCCCGCTTGCCGGGCCCCGACTTGCCGCCTTGTACGGCGGCTTCAGAGAGCGCGGTGTTTCCACGACCGTCCTCGCAACTCAATGTGTGTATCTCTCCTGCATGCACGTAGGGTGGGGGTGTGGGGGCACAGATAAATTTAAATGCCGGAAATTCCAGCACATCGTATCCAGCGGACTGAGAGCCCGATCAACGGAAGGCTCCTTCGCCATCGGGTCTGCGGACTTGTCGAGCAGGGTCTGAACTTCCTGGAAACTGTCAAGACCTGATTCGATGGTTACTGAGCATGTTGCAAACCGACCTGCAGCTCACCATCGAAGGCGAATTCCAGCAGTTCTTCGTCCATCTTGACCTGCAAGTCACAAGAAGCATTGCCCACCACGTCGGCGCGATGCATCTTTCATATCTTTCCACTGATGCAGCCAAATTCCCTCCGAAAGCACATCCCACGGGCACGCAAGAGAATGCTATTACAGCAAAGGGCAGGACCTGCTCTTTGGACTTCTCTTTCTTGGGCTGCTCCCGGCCGGCCCAGCGCCCAGCGTTCTCCTGCACTGAGAGCCATGTTCAGCCTTGAGACCATCCGCTTCCGGGTCGGGCCTTCATTTCGTTTTCTGATACGTCCACCTTCGGGCACTCTGAGAGAGAGAGAGACGGAGAGAGACGGCAGACTGGAGGTAAGAGTCACCTTTAGAAGCACCATCTTTTCTTTGAGGGAAGCAGGAGGCTCCTGCAGCGGCCACAAACGCGGCGACGTTTTCCTAGCTGCTGCAGTCCTCCTGCTTGGTCGCCAGCACAAGGCGAAAAGAATCTTTGGGATCGAATCTGAGCTCATACTCGGCAAACCACGTACAGTAGATGCTCTGAATATCTTGGGACCTCACTTCTTGCTCACATCTGCAACTCTTTCAGGAGCATGGCACTTTGTCCTATCCTGCAAGGTAAGAAAGCAGACAGCATCGGAATTTCTGAATGTCAAAGAAGCGGGTGAATGTGGGGGACAGGCCGAGCCTGAAATGCGCCTTCCGCTAATGCAGCCTGATGCTCGTAGGTGACCTGCGCGACGCTGTAGTTTTGCAACGGCAACTATCTCATCACATTCGTTTACGCTACTTTTTGAGGCTGCACCTTTGCAGCAAACTCATCGGTGGGGCGCAGAAGCGGCGTGAAGTTTTCCTGCAGGTGCAGACGTCGAGCTGGAGATATTTAATTTGACGTCTGCATTCCAGCGAAAAACCTCCAGGAAGAGCTCGTGCGGCGACAAGACCATCTCTGGAAAAGAGTCCTCACTCTGACAGATAGCACAAGCAAAGCGCGGTCAAAGAAAGTGACACTGGAAGCGAAAGCCAACCAGCCAATCGAGATGCACCCTTAGCCCACTCTCCTTGTCGAAGTAAGACTGCAGGTCACACTCTAGCTTGTCGAAGTCCAAGACAAGCCAGGCCCCATTGTGAAGCGCCTGGCTGTCGTAACTTCAAGCAATCAAGCTGAACAGACCGCCTGTGCCTGCACCAAGGCTTTTCGAAGGGTCTCTTTCTCGAAGTCGCCCTTCTTGAGGATCGATAAGTAGCGACTCGGCTCGTGCCATGCAAGAAACTTGAGCATAGACAGCCGCCAAACGCAGCGACAAACCAGGGCTTCGGCCCACGGTACTTCAGGAACTGACATGCTTGGCCCGTGGTGTCAACCAGTAGTGGATATTTCCCACTAGTGTAGACCTTACCGAGCGCTCTTCAACAGAAAGGCACAAAGGCACAGATCAACAAACAGCTCAAGTCGACTGATTGGATTGACTGACGTTGCTCACATCGAGACGAGGCACGCAGTCGTTCAATTCGCTGGTGATGTCCCGCAACTTAATGGCTCTGGCCTCGGTGAATAGTCAACCCTCCTAGAGCGCCTCCAAAGTCTGCACTGAGCTGAGCGTCCTGCCATCAGACTCCTCGGAAAAGACTTCTCCAGTAACCCAAACACATCACTGAGTGCATTGCAGACAAGTGCCTCTTGCAGGCGGCTCACATGTCATCAGGCATGCCGCGTGGGGAGCTCTGGTGGTGTAGGTGTTGGCCAACATCCAGATCGCAAGCGATTCATTGAACCGCCTCGACTATCCTGGGTTACTGACTATTGATCTCAATCTCGTGCTGGAACCGCATCTGCAGTCAATGGACTCAAACAGCATTTCATGTGGATGCCTGTGTCAATCAACCCTGTGCTCTGGGTTTGACAGCTTCGACAGCTTCGTATCTTCTGCGTTCAAAGGAGAAGCCAAGTGTGTGCGGACAAAGAGTCCGCAATCATCAGCTTTTGTAGCCAACGCAGATGCTCAAGGAAGCGGCGCGCATTCCGTTCGGGTTGGCATGCAGCTGTGATCAGGGCAGCAAGCCTTCGAAGCAACATCTGACTTCCACAGGAAACACCGCACCAACTTGTAAATTGACAGGCCTCTCTTCTGGTAGTCACGACGCGCCCTGCGCGGCGAGCCTTGCTTGCTGCCTTCCAAGGACGTGAAGACTTGCGTTGGTTCGCATTGCATGCTCTCATGCCCGACTACACTGTGCCTGAATTGCCGAGGCGGCGGGCATCTTTATTGGAGAACTTCTTCTTCAGGAGTTTCTTAGCCTCGATGCCTGCAGACAGCATCAAGCACAACAACCCCTCAGCAAATCCGATTGGTCACCGTCTAAGGGCAGTGCGAGCTAATAGCTGGATGCGAATCTCGCGGTCTGTGCGGCGGTTATCGACACCTCACTGATTGCTGTAAATTAGATCATGAAGCCCCTCTCTTGGATCCTTTGCAACACCAAGACTTGAAAACCTAGGCAACGCACGACCTGCTTCGATTAAACTCCTGCGAAAATCCTGCAAGGCATACAGAAGACATATTGTTTCCCAAACCTGTTCACAGCATCCTAATGCCAAATGCTGGCCAGCAGGTCCTCGGCATGCTGCTTAGCTCTCATGAAGCCGTAGCTGGCTCGGAACCAGCGAAACCGCTGCTTATCCTGGCTCCGACTGCACTCAGCCACTGCCGATCCCGAAAACCGGACGGCACCATTTGGGCCACGCATGGGCCTGCTCCCACCACTCCACGCACCAGACGTTTAGTCTTGGGAAGAACAGAATACCTCGTCAGCGTGCACGTTACGACCGGAACTGATCGGCTCCGCGCAACTACGGACCAGAACACGCGCCTGGAAGGACGGACATGTCCGGAGGAATCGGATTGTATGTGGCATTGTACCTTCGCTCCTTCCAAAGTCGGGACTCATGAGAGGATGACTCAATGCATCTCAGTGCGTACATTCCGTATGGAGCGATGATCCCCGATGCGCCTTCCAAAAGACCGAGCTCAGCATATTGTACGGCCAGTCTGGCCCCAGGTACCTGGCAATTCTGTAAGCTGCAGCAGGCAACAAATGCATTGTCGAAGGGGGCAGAGCACTCGCCAGACCTCACAGATTCGATGAACTGCTGATGACGGTAGTTCTTTGGAATGTACCTGGAAACAAACACCTATTGGAAAAGTGACTGAGACGTGTCGCCCGCGTGAATGAAAGAGCTCCGCTCCAAGGCGCTCCTGGCGAGCCCTTTCGTCTCTCCCAGGATTTTTTTTGTGTGCTCCGGCTCCTTGAAGCGAACGGTGCGGCAGGGGCCCGGAGAGCCTGGTGTCGGGCCTGGATGTGGGGATGGTAGATCGTCCACGGCAGCCCAGGAGCCTGGAGTATTTATAGTCTTTCGCACTTTCATTTCACACGCTCACTTCCGAAAGTGAAGTCTCTTTGAAGCGGCGGCACCCGGTGGAGGCTTCGCCGGGTCACCAACAGAGCTTGCACCGGGCTGGCAACTGCGCAGCAAAGCACTGGCAAATCATTACCTGTAGCAAGGACCTTTACCTGTTGCACAGCGTAGCTATGCGTAGCTCATGCATTGCCATAATATGGCAGAGTCAGCATGGCCTCGGGAGGTGGCATCCCGCAAGCGCGAGATCATGTTCAGATGCCAGCTATCCTCGAGTGGTCCATGACAACCTATTTTAGCCTGAGCTGCGGTAGAACGCACTTGCTGCTTCTATCGCTCCGGTGATGTGATGTCAAATGTCAGCTTCGATCTTAGACCGAGCGCACCATCTCTGCAGCACCGTTACCAGTGTCGATGTCTAATTCATGGAGTTGAGAAGCGTGCCAGGAGCTTTGGAGCCACCATGGCTAGGCCCCAGCGGCTAGGCAAAGCTGCAAGCGACAGCCCGAATGAATCATATGCATCTTGCCTGAAGGCTACCCCCCGTCTTTTTCTGAAAACTCTGCCCGAGTCGATGATGTCATTGGCCGTGCTGGAGTTGGCAGTCGTGGCGTTACTCTGATTGGTGTGAGCCCGAAGGCTGAGTTAACAGTCACATCAGAAAACTCACACCCCTCCCTGAGTGCGACCACCCCGCGGCTCGAAGCCAGCAGCGTTTTCAGTTCAGGGTGACACGTTGTTGAAAGACTTTAAGCCGGAAAACTTCCCAGCACTGCAAAGTGTGACGAGTCGAGCCACCCATGCACTTCCAGCGATGGTGGTCGGAAACAACAACAAAGGCAAGATGGCCGCTCCGGAGGCACGTTCCAGAGGGCAGGAGCTGAACTCCAAAAGCAACTTCAAAGGCCGTCCACGAACTCCTCCCGGGGCTGAACCTGCCTGGGCCTGACCTCTTGGCATGAAACTACATGCAAAGTCAAGCATGCCGTGTATCCCGAGTCATTGGTGACTACGCATCAAGCACCAACATAGCAATGATTTGGGAAAGCAATGCTTTCTGGTGCATCCCTCACGTCTGCTTGCTTCCGAGCGTCTTGCATGGCTTCCGGGCAGTGCTTGTCCGCAAAGTATCTGCAAAACCTTGGAGGCAATGGCGTAAGTGTTGGGCACAATCCGTGGTTGTGTCGCGACACTAAAAAATCTGGCAGGTCAAGAGAACAGGAACACCGACGAGAGGGAACGACTTCTGACCCCTATCATCTTGTCCAGAATCTTCGTGAAGGCTGCAAAGGCATGTTCGTTTAACAAGCTGGCAGCCAAGATGCTCATCAAAAAGAATAATTCCACCGCCATTTACATCAACCTTCTTGAACTCTGCCTCAAGACCACCCGGAGAACTCACAGGTGGAGCAGGCCCGACAGAGCTTCAAGCCTGCCTCGGACTTGGCTTGAGACATCTTGATACCGCAGACGGACATGCACCACTGAAACTCCTGCGCACCAGCAGCGGTCTGTTAGGTTGAGAAAGCCAGGAAGAAAATTGGAAACATGTAAAATGAATCGTGGAAACACGAGGATACTGGAGAGCAAAAGTTGAGCGAAGTAGGAAGAAGCTCGAGTAGGTTCGAGGTCAACCGACCGAAGGAACTTGTCAAGACTGTTCCACAATCTCCGAGGTGCATCGTGCGAGCCATAAGCCGGACGAAATACTACTTCTATCTATCAAAACCAACACAGGCACGACAATCATGTTTGTTGATCCTCCACATTGCCATCACCATCGCGATCACCATCACCACCATCATCATGATCATCATCATGTATGTTTGCATAACGTCTTGGATGTGCAGCTGCACTTGCAGATCACACCGACAGACGACACGCCTGTTTCTGTTCCTGACTTCGGCCCGCATGCTTCCCGACATATTTCCCCAGAGTGGCACCTCCGTGGAAATGCAGCTAGTAGCAAGCACCCGCCAACTCCTTGAGAGTCATTCGGCGGTCGTGGTCCTCGTCTACCTGTCGAAAACTGCATCTGAACAACCGGTTCTGGGCTCCGCTACTGGCTCCGCTGAACGGACCTGATCGAAAAGCCAGTAAAGCTTGTTGAAATAGAACAGGTTTCCTTGAGAAAGCTGATTTGGGACGTCCCGCACTAACACCTCGACCAGGGCCAAGGCCCAACAGCATCTTGAACTCAGCCTTCTGCACCCATTCATCCCCGTTTCCTTCCGGGACGAAGTTTGTTCTCTGCCTATCTGCATGCACCATCGACGGCTCCTCTTTCAAGCGTGGCCTTGAAAGCCCGCATTAGTGCAGGATGATGGTTGAGCACTGGGTACTGCTCGTTCACCATCTTACCAACCTCAGCCGAATGGGCTTACTTTGGAAGCCACACAACATGAAACAGCAGCATTCGCACCTCTGCCAGGGACACAATGTTGTTGCCGTTGAAGTCCAAGCGCTTCCACATCCTTAGCTGAGATGATTCGCAATTCTCTGCGGTGCACGACTTACAGCGCTAAGATGTGGCCCAGATTCTTTTTCAATTGCGCTTGGTCGTTCGCTTTCAAGACATCCTACCGCATAGAAGTGCAATGCCATGTCGCAACAAATTAGCATAGCGCAATCACCTTAGGGCCGTAGGGCCTTCAATTCCTTCTCAAGCTTGTCAAAGTCGGCCAGACTCTTCTTGTTGACGAAGTGTCCATGTGTCGCCTGCTCGGCGTTCTCTCTCTACAGAGCCTCGGGAAGACTTGGCACCTTGTCACCGTGCTTCTTCCGCAAAGTCTCATTGGACTTGTCCTTGGACACCTGAAAACAGCAAATCGACAAATACCAGTCCACGACACAGAGCACAACACGCCAGGCAGACAATATCTGCATCAAAGGCTGGATTGTGGTCTGGATGGACTCGCCTCGATCCAAGAAGGTACTTCAGCCACTCTTGGTGAAGAACTCGTTCCAGAACTTCGCGCGCCTCCTAATATACGCGCAGAACTCGGTGAAGAGTATCATCCCACCGTGGTCCATGTCGATTGTACTGGCACGGGAAACGGAAAGAAGCCCTGCTTGACCGAAGGCAAGGCCGGGGTCCTGTACTCCCTTCTTGCCTCTTCTGGAGACAGGTGAAGGTCGAGCCTGTTTTCAAAACAGGCTCCCCCGGCTCCCTGCTCTTGGAGCGCTGAGCATCTTGCTGAGCCATTCCTGCGGTGAACTCTTCCAGAGTTAGCCTGCCGTCATGGCTCCTCGGCTGCGGCAAAAAGCTTCGACGTCACCCCAATTACCTGACATGCTTCTGAGGCTCGTATCGATTTCGTCAAATATTCGATGCAAGTGACCGAACCTGCAGCCAAGCATAGAAACGACTGCGCGAGGAGTCAAGAGAACTCCGCCGAGCTCGGCCGGACTTCCACTGGTTGCGACTGCGGCCCGAGGACCAGAACAGGTTCAGGAGCAACGAGTGGAATTCCTCCTGTGGGACGCAGACCCGACTTGTCTAGGCTAGGGGCTATCTATGGCTTGCCAGCTGGTCCTTCTCCACGTCATCCCCTTCCCCATCGCCATCCAACCTCAAAGACTTGAAAATGTCAAGTTTTGCAGTCCAGACCACGCAGCCAGCCTCGTTGCCGTAAACGCATGCTACTTGCGAACTGGCGTCTTGGCGGTCTTCTCGTAAGCCCTGCGAATGGCATCCTTGTTGTTGACCCACTCTGGCCACAGGCTGGCCTCAAGAGTGATGGTGAAATCATGTGCAATCGATGATCCTGTGGTCTTTAAGACATCCGGGCCTTGACCATGTCTACAACAAGGCTGTCGATTTCCGCCAAGCTGACGATGTTGTTTCCATTCTGAGAGCATCGCCAATTCAAGAGGTTGTTTCGACTCCGGTCTCACCTGGCACTGAGGCCCGAGCTTTGTCAAGTTTCTTCCACAGCTGCTTTAAGCCTTTGGCAAATGGCAGACAATGGCACTCACGCATGGTGCAACAATTGAAAACGAGCCGCTGTTGGAATCCATCAAACCGAAGTGCTTCAAATCCTCCTCCACCTGTTGAGCATGGAAAGCTTGAGATTATCCTTGAGATTGATGTCTAGCTTTCAGGGAATCGCGCGAGGGGCTTCCCTGTTCGAAGCTTTGGGGTCTGCCGCTGCGTTTGCTACTGTGATATCGGCAGAGGTGGGGTGTGCCACGTCTCGCATGAATCCAGGATTGGCCACTTGTCGTGTGTCTTGTTTCGGGAGACGAAAATGCTGTGAGGAGCAAGGCTCCAACATGCTTGTTGCGGTGCTTAGTGGCCTGTTTCAGAATCACGTCGGAGAGCGAGCAACGTCTGCAGTCGGAAGTCTGGTCATGCTTACTCTGTTATCGGGCTGAAGAAACGCGTGCTCTCGGCCTTGCCGTACGGCCGCAAGGTCGTCAGGTTGCGCAAGGGGTGGGGTTGGTTCCTTTTCGATCCCGTACGCTTTTCTGCAACTCACGCCGTTTTGTTCGGCAGGATGTGGCCCGAGCAGACGAAAACAAGCACGGGGGAGGGGAGGGGTGTTTTGTTGGTGTTTCGTGCTCTGCGGCCGAAACACCCGCGCCTGTGTCTTCGAAACATGGAGGCCCGAGAGCAACAAAACAACACCGGCTCCTGCTTTTGGTGTCGGTACGGTGCGGGCTGCAGATTCTGACATACCTCATTTTTCCTTTGAACATTGGAGCGGGTTGGGGGTTTGGGGGCTCGCCTGCGTGCCCGAGTTCCCCTCCAACATGGTTCTCTGGGCTTACGTACATATGACCGTGATAACCGACATGCCTTGTGTGTATACCCTAAACATACATACTCTTTATCTATTCAATTTGTCGTTGATCTCATCAGTATGTTTCACGGCCATCTAGCCACCTCTACCCGAAGCTGCCAGGGTGCCTGCAAAAAACACAAAAACTGGGGAGGTACTTGTTTTCACGCTCGCTCCGTCGTGGTTCAAGTGGTCACCATTTTTGCTCTTCACTCTACGACCCTAAAAGGCAAAAAGCCAAGAAGCCAGGAACCCAAAGGGCTTGCACATCTTCTTGTGTTCTGCACACCGTGGACCGAGCAAAAAAAGCAGGACACTCAATGGCTTGCCCGCTGCCGAAAAGCCTGGAGCACTGTTGTTCAAGCTTCCCTTATTCCCTTCCCACTCCAACAACACTCATGTAAAGTCGCCACCCTCTGGCCAGAGCCAGAAGTCACAAAAACGCGACCCTGGGCTTCCACAAACCTCACTGAACGGAAAGTAGCGACCAAACGAAAAGAGCGTAATCTATCTTTTCCAACAGCATCGCTTGTCGGCTGAACCGCCCGATCACCCGACAACCAAGTGGGAGCGAAGAAAAAGGAAGACCGCAAACAGCCTACCAGCGCGAATTTCTCGATGAATTTGCTCATCATACAGCTGCCAAGCCTCGTTCCTGAGCAGGACAAACTTATCCTGAGACGCCTCACAAACAGGCAACGCCAACATGAGGCCAGACAGCAAATCAAGCAATAAGGAAACAACATGAGGAACGAGGAAGACCTTCGCAGGTACGCATTTGATGTTTCTATCTTCCCGCCACTGGCCATCCTCACCTGAGGCAAAATGTCCAACACGCTGCACCAAGATACAGCAAGCGCTGCACCGACTCGCCTAAGGACTCCACCACAGCAAATCCAAGGACCAGGACACTGGGTGGGATCAGCATAGCCATTGTCCGAAACAAATGCATAGCATCGAGCGCCGTCCTCAGTTCACTTAGGAGCATGGCGTGGATCATACACAGGAAACAGCGCTGGGATCGCACGCCCACTTGGTTTTCCTTGCACCCCCTGCTGCAATGTGGCCCGACTCAGCTTTGCTGACTTTTCAAGCCGGTGCCGAAAACTGATGTAACTTGCCCCTGAGGCGATGCCCAGCTAAGACAGCGAAACCTGCTGCTCGTTCACTCCTCCTTGTCCTGTTGTTGCTTCTCCAACTCCTGACAGACTGAGCTGATCCTCTCTGTACCAAAAAATAGCGACAACACCGCAGGCTCCTGAGCTTCGTCCCGAGCTTTGTGAGATCGTGCCTTTCAAGGTCAAGCGATGCAAGAGATTCTTCCAGTAAAACTGCAACAAGCAACTCTGATCACCTTTTGCAGCTTCTTGGTGTCTTGTTGAAGATCCTCAGCAGCCTGCACCGCAAAATACAGTGGTCGCGATCGCAGCTGCGAGCATCAAGCACAGCAGCGCCTTGTGCGATGCTTTTCCAAGATCTTCTGTGGCTTGTTGCAGCTCCTTCTCTGTTTCCCTGCAAGGCATAATTTTGCATGAACAAGATGGTGAGGAAAAGACGGCACACCGCAACGAGAATGTATTTGCAGGGCTTCGGTTCCTGGGTCCCTGCGGCTGGTTTGGAGTTGGAGGATATCTGTTTTTGGACAGCCGAGTGCATTTTTGCGAGTATTGTGGTCAGTACGGCGCAGCCGGCTCTGACTGTAAAATCTCGCACAACCACCCAGTTCGACAGACCCCAAGTCCAAAGCCCCAAATCTCCGCCCCAGAAGCCCACAATTGGTGCCAGGTGCGGGTGCCGTGTTGCTTTGCATGCTTAAAGTACACGAATAGCAAGAAAAAAACCCTGCTTGCAAGTTGGACAAGGTTTCACTCAGCCGTGATCGACTGTGTATATAGTGGCCATCATCATTTTCATCATCATCGCCATCACCATATCGTTGCAAACTGTTGTGCAAAGAAGAAAAACGCTGTAAATATCAGTGCTTGGACATGCTCGCACGAGACATCAACGCTTGCGACACTGCGTCTCATGCCGGAAACGTAAACCATCCTTCTGCAGGATGTTGTACAGAATTGCGAAACGCTATAAATACCAGTGGTTCGGGCATGCTAGCACATGGCATGAACGCTTGTGACAGTGCATCAACATCAAGCTTCCTTCTGCTGTATGTTGTATAAAGTGGCCAGAACAGAAACGCTGTAATACCCGTGTTTTGGGCATGGTCGTGGGAAAAACCGACACCATTATCCCCCGCCGCCCCACCCCCCCACTCCCACCCGTCAAACCAACGCAGCCCAACCCCACGGAATCATCCGAAATATCCTGAAGGTGCAAGGAAACCCAGGAAGGTAACACGGCAACCAGGCTCCCGCTACCTCCTAATATGGGTGAGTGCGAGACACTGCGGGAAGTCTCGAAGATTGCGAGGCGAGCAGCGTATTTCTCGCGGCTTAGGACTTCCGCTTTCGGGCTTAGGGTTCAGACTTTACGAAACAAGGCCAGGAAATCGCACGCTGGTATAGAACAGCACACTCGTTGATTGAGGCAAATTAAGCCTGCCCCTTTCCATGTGAGATCGGCCTCTCTTTGCAACGCTCTTTTCGATTGCCTATTAAACGAGTTCTTGCCTGGGACCGGGTACCGGTAGCAATATTGCTGCGGTTGGAGAAACTCAGACTCAGATTATGCTCTATCCGACCGAAAAGTGTGGAAATGCCTCCATTCCTCTGCATCTTTCATTGTCTCATCACCGGCCGCATCCCTTGGTGGCCAGCATGTTATCACGCATTAAATCACACTAGTTGTACATGCTTGTGTTGGGGATTGACGTCAAGATTCTGCTGCGGTATACACATCTACGAAGTGTGAAGCGTCCTCGTTCTCTTATTCAAGCAAAGGGGCGTCTCCTGGACGGAGGTTTCCACAGGGCCATTAGATGACAGCTGAAACTTCAGCTTGTTGTATGCAGGGGTTGGCACAGGCGGCAACTTCAAGATGGGCGCCCCCAAGTCACCATCGTACTCTTCCTGGGACACAGAACCGCCCCATGGCGCCAGGCACGCCTAGTGTGAAAGGGATAGCGGACAAGTCACTGTAGGATCCGGAGTGTCAAAGTTGAGATCCATTGCCTCGGAATTCCGAGCCCGAGAGCACACCAGAAGCGCACCCCACAGCGCATGCCACCAAGTTGCACGGCTGCCTGCGCTTGACGGGCATCAGATTTTGCCGCACACACGGAAAATCGAATACCATCTTCCGCGCGATAAACTGAACAAATGGGCCGGGAGACGTCCGATGCTGTCATGTTGAAGAAAACTTGGTGGGCCAGCTTTCCTGCTGTGGCTGCGCTCGCCTGCAAGTGGCGCACTGGACTGGATGTTCATGAACCGGTGGACGAATACGCATGAAAACTCAGCAAAACATGGAGGACAGGTCGCTAAACGACTATGTACGAGAGCCTTACGAGTGCCCGTCCCGCCAACCAACTTCATTCGCGAGAGGACCGTACATAACTGAATAAAAAGTACGGACTACAATCCTGATTGCATGTATATGTTAGCACGCTGTTGTTGCTGTTGCTGTTGATGCCATCGTTGCAATTAGTTGTTGTTACAATTGTTGTTGCTGCTGCTGTTTTTGAGGTTGTTGCTAGTTTTCTTACGGTTTCGCTGTTGTTGCTGTCGCAGCCATTATGATTGTATGGTTTTTTTGTTGATGGTGTTGCGTCCAACCGCCACATATCTCACACACGCCCCGTCATTTGGAGATCCTGATTCAACACATATCTTAATCACGCCCCCTCAGGAGGCATTCGTTGTTGATCACAATAGTAATTAAACACGCCCCCTCCTCGGGAGAAGGGCCGTTCCCAGCGACACCGCAATCAAATTAGGACCAACGGGCTTCAACGAGCCCGCAACAGGCCCACGGGCCCACCGGTCCGCCCCGGGTCCGTGGACGCGCGTGTGTATGTGTGTGTGTGTGTGTGTGTGTCTGTGTGTGTGTGTCTGTGTGTCTGTGTGTCTGTGTGTCTGTGTGTCTGTGTGTCTGTGTGTCTGT